CTTAAAATTTAAAAACTTCACGAGTTGAAAGCAGTGAAAATTTGATTGACGATTAATTTCTTTCGGCGATATTATGGCGATAAATTCTATTTGCAGCTGTCAAAAAAAGTTTGAAACTTGCCTCGTTACCAGAAACGGAGGATCTACACCAGGGGTGTTAAACTCAAAAGCTGACTTGGGCCAAATAAACAATGCTTAACTTCAGGTGGGCCGCAAAAAAAAAAAAANAAAAAAAAAAAAAAAAAAAAAAAAAAAAAAAAAAAAAAAAAATCAATGTTCATAGAAACAATTATTTTTTATTTTGAGTAGTATATTGTAATAAACATATTTAAAGTTAAATTATTGTTTAATACTTGACATCTCTTTTCTGCTACTATCTTTCCTATTTCGGGAGAAATTTTATTGGCCGAAACTACTTTCAAAATTGACCCAACGTGAGCGTTATTAATACGGTTTCGGATGGGAGATTTATTTCCATTCATAACAGAAAATAATTGCTCACACTGATAAGTACTTCCAAACATGGAAATAATTTCATAAGCGAATTTTCGAGTATTTTCAAACCTTGCCGGTAAATATTTGTAAAATTCAGGCATACCCACTTCAATGAATTTTGCCTTCAAATTTGAGTAGCACTGAATCTCAAACACTTTCATTTGCATATTACTGGGCACTGAGTCTATATTTATTGAGAAAATCGAAGAGAACAAACAAAATTTGTCTTCCAAAGAATTGAAATCTTTAAACCTTGTTTCAAATTCTGTTTTCAGATTTGAAATTTTTTTTGCGTATTTTTGATACGATGCAGTATCCCTGGAATTGCAGGTCCCACAAGCCAATTAGAATTTTACATTTTCACTCGTACAATTTAAAATGATCCGTATAGTTTATAAATAAAGTATATTATAATTTTAGATGCTGGTTTCCTTTCTAATTCACATTTCTATTTTATTTTTACTTTGCGTCGGATATATTGACTGGGCCGCATGCGGCCTGCAGGCCGCTAGTTTGACACCCCTGATCTACACTGTTAGAATTCTAATTCGAAAATTATGGTAAAATAACCGGCAGCAGTCTGTCCATCCGATCAACCGTAAAGTTTACGGTAAATAACGCTTTTTACCCTTACGATTTTGAAACCATTTACAACTAGTATGGTTATAAAATCATGAATGCAAAACTAAACGGATTTTTAACCATTTACAACTGGCATGGTTTCAGAACCGTAAGAAAGAAATTTAGCTAAACATTGGAGTTTGGATTTTCGTAAGGTAGTGGGCATTGGAGTGTGCAGGACACAAATCGGGAAGTATAGGACACTAGAAGCTCTTCATGCGTCGAAGAGAATGGAGGAAATATTGTGGTCAATGCTGAGACTCGAACCCCCGTTCTGTAGGTCATGAGACTAACAGATTAGCCTTCTTGTCTATGATATGTACGCAGTTGTTAAGAACTAAGTGGCTTCATTTGGTGGGATTAGTTGGTGCGATAAAATTCTGGTTGTTTAACCGTATTAGGAGCAAACCAGTTAATAAACAGTTCTTCTCACAGCTAACAGTTTGATTATCATCTCATTTATGGTCATTTGATTGTTTTGTTTTGGTAAGATAACAATTAATTAAATTGTTTTTAACCGTTTTTTTTCCCGAGAAATTTTTAACAGTGTATATTTGAATGCTGTAGATGTTCCGAAAGTGATCGAAATTTCAATTGAAATACTCCACTTTCGCATACACGGAAGCGAGTTAATAAGACCCTTGTACGAAGCAATTTTACTGAGCGCATATTTTTGGGAAGGTTTCAAATTAATCCTTCGGTAACTAACCTCGGGATGGCCTTAAGGCAACATTTTATTATTCGAATCTAAATTTTTTTTCTTTTTCGAAGTATGTATCTAAATAGTGCTAACAGAGGTAAAATTGGACTGTTTTCAAAAGTCAAAATAACTTTTTTTTCTTCCTTCATCGTCCGATTTGAAAGACACGTGCTCGGTTTATTTTTCTGGATTTGCTTGTGAGACGCGAGATAGATTCTTTGATGTTTTTTTTCTTCTTCTTCTTTTAAAAAAGAACTATTATTATCACTTGTGCCGTGAGAAACTTCCTGACAAATATGCCTCTATGTTCTTTTCAAATGTCATTTACACCGACTTAAAAGATGGCTTGAAAGGTTTCACTTTACGAACACTAAATAACAGGCTTTTTTAACCCTTTAATGGGCCATTTTATTTCTAGTAAAGGTAAATTAAAGTATTTTTGAAATTGAAATTGTTATAAGAATAGTAATTGATATTATAACAGGGTGCGCAGTGTTTTTAAAAAGTGCTTAAAGGTGCTTACTTTTGATTTACGTTTTTTTTAAAAGCTTTTAAAGGTGCCTTTTTTTATTTGGGGTTTGTAAAAAGTACTTACTTTTCTATCTAATAAAAAGAGATTTTTTCTTTGCTGTGTTAATTGTAGCTTTAAATTACAAAAAAATATATGATTTTCACAATTTTCTCTGCAATATTTATCGGGAACTAGGTATTTAATCATGATTGTGTAAAGTTTTTGAGTTTTATTGATTTTATGTTTATAAATCAAGAACTTTAAACGATGGAAAATTTTTTTTTATTCCTGAACAAATCCTAATTATGATGTTTTTTTTAAAAAGTGATTGAAAATATTTTTGAGTGCTTAAAAAGTACTTAAAAGGTGCTAATTTTTTGTTGAAAAATCTGGCTACGCACCCTGTATAAGAAAAAAAAAAACTCATTTAGTTTATAAAAATGCCATTTAATTGATGGTAAGAATATTTAACATGACCTGTTAGGAACTTATTGACTTTTATTTTTCCTTATTTATAAAATTTTTTTTATAATGCTACAATCTTCAAAAGGAATTATGCATTTTGTAACTTTTGTTAAACTAACGTTTTGTTAAGCTAACAAATGGTTGCCAATTTTATTCAAACACACTTCAAGAAAGCTGAAGTTATTAACAAATGGAAACCTATATTAAAAGTGGTAAAAAAATTCACTGCAGACTTTAAAAATTGGTGGTAAGTATACTTACCATGGCTTTAGAAAGGGTTAAATCACTTTTTTAAAATTGATTTTTATGTAATTCCGGGTTACTGAACCAGTTTTATTTTATTTTATAACCGTCGTTGAACAGTCGACCCAATATTTGGGTTTACGACAACTAACTAATGTTTAACTCCGTAAGTTGTAATTTTGAAGCCTATCCAGAAGACAAGGAAAGTCCTGAATCAAGTATTGGGAGGAATTTGCCTTCGTGGAGGATTTTTTGATGGAACTAACCCGCTATTGCATTGCATGGAGAGGGAGACCACGAAAACCTCCCACGGTTAGCCTGACGGCGAAGGGACTATTAACTCATGATCCGTCTACCACTGAGGATATTTCACGTCAGCACTGTGGTCGGTGCAAGCCGAATGCGGAATTCGTATCGACTGGGATTCGAACCCGGTTCGCCTCACTGGAAGGCGAACGCTCTGTCCCCTGAGCCATCGCGGCTCTTACTGAACCAATTGCTAATATTAATAGCTGGATGTTTTTTTTTTAAATTTTTTGTCAGCGTGGTCATACGCGTTTGTTGCACAAATTAAACGCACACTTACACTTCGACTCAATGATATGTCTTAAATCAAGACATCAAACTGTCTCCCATCATCCTACACAGTTGAAGTTCTAATCACACGTTTCAGGTTTCTTCTGCTAAAATCATTCAGCACTGCTCTTCAGTTACTAACCTTGATTTTTCGGAATCATTCCGTATATTGAAATATCCGAATGATCTTTTCTCTCTTTTTTCGTTAATGATCTTTTTAATATCCCACTCTTTCCTAATTTAAGAAATGTATTTTATTTCATTTTAATTTTATTTTTTTAATCTATTTTAATTTTAACTATTGTAACATTCTAAAATTTTTTTAATCAGATTTGACCTTAATTTGTAAAACAGCATGTTTTAAAATATTTTTTAGTTTTTTTTCTTTTGTCTAAAATTTTGGTCTACTTTGAAAAACAAATATTTATTTGCTTTCAAGTAAACCTTAATAAAATAATGAAACATTTCAAAAAGTTTGTCTAAATTTTACCCATGTATGACTCATTTTTTTTTAAAAGTACTTTAAATATGGACTAGTTTTAAGTGTTTAACAAAATATGCACAGTTTTAAGTGCTTTACAAAATATACAATGTCAATAATTAATTTTGGAAGTGTTTTTGTACTATAATTATGGATACAAAAAATTGTGTATCTGTATCAGTTAAGACTTTGTGCATGCTTTTTGATGGCAGAAACTTGACTTCGTTTAGGATTTTTTTTTTAAGGAACTAACCTGCATTTGTGCATGGAGAGGAAAACCTCCTACGGTTAACCTGACGACAAGGGACTCTAACCCATGATCCGTCTCCACTGAGGATATTTTACGTTTGCACTGTAGTCGGTGAAAACAGGTTCGGAATTTGTTTCGATGAGCCATCGCTGGGATTCAAACCCAGCATCATTTTAATTTTACAAAAAAATTATCTGCACTAGAATTTTTTTGAATTGAAATTTTCGGATCTAACACGGTTCGGAGGGACCGGGGTTCGATCCTCGACTACTGTAAGTCTCACCGAGTACATGCGATATGTGTACATGTAAAATCTTTGGAATCTAAAGTTCTATGTTCGGTCGCTGAGCAGTACCATGGTTTCGGGGAGCTGGAGAAAATTTCCTTCCCCTTCAGCTCCATGTCTAAATTGCGGAAGTGGCCTCAAGAATGAGTAGTGCTGCCATCTATCCATGGGATTCTGAACCAAGACGTACTTTCATCTTTGAAGTGCTTTCTTGTCAAACGATAGGCTCACCTCCCTGACTAAATTCGCGAAAGATCTATAGCTGGCGATTTTTGCTTGTTCAAGTATCATTAGAAACAACAACAAATTTACAACTATATTTTCCTTATCTGAATTATTTTGATTATATATATTTATTTCTTTTTTTTTCAGTCACACCTCCGCCGGATGCTGTGGATGATGAACCGGAACCATCCGCCCCTCCCTTGGAGCTGATGGATAAAGTACGGGGGTATGAAACTGCATCTTTCGAAGACGGTAGGTTACAATCATACTTTCTGAATATCACTGCATTTTTTTTTCTAATTCTTCACTTTCAGAATGTGTTTGTAAAATTTCGTATTTGTAAGTGAAATTTGGATTTTTATTTAGATTTTTATGTGGTAGCGTGTAGACGTGGGAATGTCCGGGGCCAACCAACACCTCCTAGAAGAGAGAAGGCCTCTGCACGGATCAATTTAGTAGTCCGACTGAACGAACATAAACTGCGCAGTGGGGAAAAATAAGAAAGATGTCACACAGTCCGTACTATGTACTAAACTGTGCATTAGGTAAAAATCGTTCGGACTGCTAAAGCATCAGATTTATCGTTCTTGGCAACCTGTGCGAAAGCCTTCTCTCATCTAGGAGCTGTTGGGGCAACTCTTTGATCAGATGCTTGTTAAGAGTATTGTAATTACTGGAAGGGGCAAAAAGCGATAAAAAGATATTTTATTTTTAAAAAAAAAAACTGTAACAAATATGTGTATGAAAGGAAATCAAAATTTTAAACTTATTTTTATATAGGGGAGAGTCGGGTAGCCCCGCTCACTTAAGGAGTATTGCTTATATTTCTGTATAATACTGAGTAATAATCAACATTTTTGCATGTTTCTATTGTTTTATCATCTAATTGAATAATGCAAAAAGAATAAACCAAAAAAAGAGTAGTTAAACTTAAAAAAATAGAAATTTAAAAAAACATGTTTTTCAGCTCTTTTCAAAATGTGTCGGGTAGCCCCGCCCAGTTACAAAAATTGTGTTTTTTGGCTATTTTTTCAGGTGTAAATGAGAATGACCAATGTATTGACAATAGATAAACCTCATTTATCATTTTTATCACAAAATTATTTTATTTATTACATATTTATATACTTTTAGTGAATTCTATCATTTAATAACAACAAATGTCATACCTTTTATCATTATTAATGTATATTAATATATTATAATATTAATATATATTTATATTAAATATTTAATGAAAATAATTTAATTTAAGTAACAATAATTAATAACAATAGTTGTTTTTCAATATAAACTTATTTGGTTGATCTCTTCTTATAAACTTAATATAAAATACTTCTTATAAAATTACAAATTCACTTTGTATTTTGATTGCATTCAAATGCTTCTGTAGATTGATTCGTTCACAAATAAGTGAAAATAAATAAGTAAGCAAATAGCTTATCATAATATTTATGATTTCTTGATATTAAATTTAATTTGGATATATCAATTACATTTTAAAAATATTTAATTTTTCATTTTTAAATATATAAATTTATGTTTCATATAATATTAAAACATATATTTGTTGTTAAAAATGCATATAACATTCAAATTTGAAGCAATAAAATAATAATCTTTGCAACCGTACATTTATCGACGAAATAAAATTGGGCGGTGATACCCGACATTCATGTGAGCGGGGCTACCCGAAATCCAATTTTTTTGTAAATTTGTAATTACTCGAACAATTTTTTACATACAAACTTCTTTCTTTGTGCAAATTAAACTTAAGACTACATACTTTAATGCTGTATGTATAGAAAAAATTATTTTTTTCGTATTAAAATGAAGTTTAATCGAAACATTCAACCAATTTTTCTTAATTTCATGACTACTGTATTCAACATATTTGCAAAACTATTGTTTACCATGTTACCAGCTGCATAAATACTTGAAACTTTGAAAGTAATCTTTTTTTAATATAACAAATAATGTCCGATGGTCCATTGACTTGAAAAAATATTCTATACATATGAAATTGACAGTGGGCGGGGGTACCCGCTGGGCGGGGCTACCCGTCTCTCCCCTATATGTGTGCGGAGATTCTTCTATAGTAAAATATATTTATATATTATTTCCTAACAATACATACCTAACAATATATTAATGTCATAGTTTATTCTTCATAGAGGTTTTTGTTTGCGTTTTAAAGAATTTAATTTCATTATGGTAATAGAGTTAGTTAATCCTTAGAAGTCAAAGGGGTGTCCCCTTTGACAGGATGACCTGGAGTTATTGACCCCTTTGCGGCCTCTGCATGCCGCTGTTGAGATGGAAAATTGCTTTAAATTGTGAATATGAATTTTTTTTAAAATTTATAAAATTACTGATTTTTCTTGTTTACTGAAGTTTTAATTATTTGTTTTCTAATCAGACGAAAGAAAACCCGTTTTATTATGTTTTTAGATCCTACTACGGAAAAGGAACGATTACAGTAGTTTCGCTACTTGTAGCGTGCTGCTTCCACTCTCTGTTACAATGGAATTTGATTATTAGGTTTAGCTTATAATTGTTTTTTCAAATTTCTTTCAAAAATGCTTATTGAATAGCTAGCTTCATTTATAAAAAAATAAAAAAGTCTAATTATGTAATAATTAAATTTAATTTTTCTTGTTGCTATTGATATTTTAATAATTCCAGCTCTTATTTCGAATCCTAAAGTCGTTTGCGATCTTGTCGTTGTTGTTAATGATCTATTTGTTCTGATTGGGTATAGTTTATAATTCTTTTTTCACATTTCTATAAAAAATGCTTATTCATAAAAAGTAAAAAATCTAATTATGTAATAATTAAAATTTAATTTTTATTTTTTTCTATTTTTATTTTAATAATTCCAGAGCGTATTATCGAATCCAAAAGTCGTTTGCGATCTCGTCGTTGTTGTAAAATATAATGATCTATTTGTTTGTCTTTGTTCTGAAGTGGAAAGTCAAGTTGTTTTGACCCGGTGGTTCAAGGTTTTCTTCTTTGATATTTTCTCTTTGTCAACATTATTTTTAAATTATGAGATACATGACACGGCGTATGATTGCCTCATTGAAGAATTAACTAGAAGTTAAAGGCTACACATTCTATTCTTTGCCATGATATACCTAGTCAGCTTATTTAAAATTTAATGTATGATCTGGGAAAATATTAAATTAAATACCTATACGCATGACTGTTAAAAAGTATTTATCAGGGTTTGTAAGGTCCTTATAAACCGTATTGCAAAGCTATTAATTGTGTTTTTAATCAAGGAATCATTTTAATATCTTCAATTAAATATATTTAGCCGGAAGTAGTAATATATTTATTATTAATTTAGTATTTGTTAGTTTAGCATTATACTTATTTATATCCGATTAAATATTTGTTGTGAAATTCAAGTTTTGAATGTTTAGTTTTCAATTGAATCCTTAGAAATTAGTGACTTCTTTTTTTAAAAAATAACATTGACATATCCTTTTCTATTAATTTTTTTTACGGATCGTATGAACCCTTTTTATTACATAATAAAACAGGCAAAAATTAAGGAGCTGCAGATTTCTTCGAGTGCAAGATTATTCTCAAATACTGATTGCAGTAATTAATAAATATTGGGTTTGAAAAAATTTATTAAAAACGATGTTGATTACCACTACAAATGTATGAGTTAGAGTTTTATTATATTTTTTTATGTAACCAGTGTTGGTCCATGTCCAAGAAGTCGTGTTTTCGATTCCCGCCGTCCGAAGATTCCCAGTGTAATAAATGGCGACTGGTGCACGTAAAATTTGTTGAGTCACAAAGTCCTCCATGTTCCTATAATAAATCGATACCTAAGGAGCTGCAGATTTCTTCGAGTTCGAGATTTTTCACAAGTACTGACCGCAGCTATTAATAAATATTGGTTTAAAAAAATTTATTAAAAAGGATGTTGATCACCACTACAAATGTATCAGTTAGAGGTTTATTATATTTTATTATATAACCGGCTTTGGCCCATGCCTAAGAAGTCGTGGGTTCGATCCTCACCGGCAGCAGACTCCCAGTGTAGTAAAGGGCGACTGGTGCACGTTAAATTTGTCGAGTCACAAAGTCCTCCATGTTCCTATAATAAATCAGTACCTCTAGGGGGTACTGAATTGGAGATTGATCGATCTCTGGTTCAGGTCAAAATTACGATCTGTGTATGAACGGGTTCGCCCTATAAACGGGCGTGACGTATGGGAGTTTCAGAAGTCGAATTCTGGTCCAAAGATGACTCCACTGGAAAACCAAAACAATCCCACCCCTTGCCGTAATGGCATACGACAACCACAACATGAACAGCCGCCCAGATTCTGAGTTTACAACTATCAATGTTTCACTTCCGTAGCCTTGTAGTTTTGAACTCAACTCAAAAGACAAAGGAACTCCTGGATCAAACATTGCGACAAATTAGCCTTGGTGGGAGACCTTTTGCTGGAACAAACCCGTACTTGAGTTACATTGAAAAGAATACCACGAAAACCCCCACGCAAGGGGATTCTAACCCATGATTCGTCAACCACTGAGGATATTTTACCTCATCACTGTACTGTGCATTACTCACTCAGCCCATCGGGAGGCGACCGCTCTATCCCTTCAGTCACCACGGTTCAGAGGTTTATTATATTTTATTTTATAAACTACATTGAGCAGCCGACCCAAAGTTTGGGTTTACGACTACTAAAGTTCAACTCCGTAGCCTTGTAGTTTTGAACCCAATCCTGAAGACAAGGGAACTGGTTGATCAAGTATTGAGAATAATTTTGTCTTCGTTGAGGACATTTTAATGCAATTAACGCGCATTTGCGTTACATGAAGAGGAATACTACGAAAACTCGGTGCGAGCGGGGTGCGGAATTTTTATTGACCAGCCATTGCAGGGATTTGAACCTGGAAGGCAATATTATTATAGGAAGTATCATATTTATATTACGTTTTTTTTGTGCTGACAAAATTTTTGTTCTAAATATTGATCAATTAATTTTTATTTCTCGTCCACTTTAAATATTGTTGGAGGGAGGGGGGCTAAACATTAGTTTTAATTGATCTGAAAATCATTAAATGAAAAACTTTCAACTCCTTATTTAAATTAGTAATCATGCAGTCAAGTTTTTTTTTTTTTTTTTTTTTTTNTTTTTTTTTTTTTTTTTTTAACTTAAATATTATCTTAGGACAGGAACTTTCTATCAAGAGGGAATTTAAGTGTTTCATTAAAT